CAACACTTGAACCCCTGGCCATGGGGCTATGAATTTCACAATTTTAGAAGAGGCACCCTTGCTCATCTTAACCATGCACTTAGTTTGTCTTCAAAATATACAGGGGGAGAGAAGAAGATTTTCACTGTATGATCAACAGAGCGCGACCCTAACACCACAAGCCCTAACCCTGGGGCCATGAATTTTACAATTAGAGGACTCATTGCTGATTACAATCATGACAACAGTTTGTCTACTTGATGTCCAGGAGTAAAGAAGACATTTTTGAAGATTTTATTAATTTTCATGAATTTGGCCCCATCCCTAAGGCCCATGAGGAGGGATCATGAAAAACATTATTTTTGTCCCCTTTTACCCATAGATGCTATATGCCAAAATCGACTGAAATTGGTTCTGCTGTTCCAGAGAAGAAGATGAAAATGTTTAAAGATTTACAACCAATGCACAATGGTGGACAAAACCGATAGCAATAGGTCACCTGAGTCACTAAAAATACATTTGTTATCATCTTTATTGAAGTATCAAAATAACATTTCATTTATCAAAGAATCTGTTGTGTCTTTTAGATCTGATATTCATTTCTTCACAAAAGCTAAGTTGGATGAAGACCCTGTATATGTGTGTAATCTCGAGGTTGTGAACAGTCAAACCTCATTATCTCGAACTTAATGGGACCGAGAAAAAACTCCGAGATATCCAGGGTAAAATACTTTAAGAAAAAGGGGGCTGAGACTTCAAAATCACTTCAACATATTCATGGCATTCGAGATATCAGTGTTCGAGATATCGAAGTTCAACTGTATTTTAAAGTGTTGTAAACAAAATACAAAGAGGACAGGATATTTCAGTCTCTTCCTCATAAGAGAGGGTCTAACTCTAAGTGACGTAAGGAAACTTCTTTGAATCAAAGGGTCTGTCCTTCAAAACTTTATCAACTGAATTGCTGTTTTTAGACACAATAAGAAAATATGACTATTTTGTTTGCATGTGCAGGATAATATTTTGATGAGTTAGGCCTATCAACTTGAAACATTTTGAGAATGTCAAAACCAATTTATTTCTATGTAACACATTAACTATATTTGCACTACTTATGGAATCTGTTATAGATTTATATATTTACATCCACTGAATATTTCCTCCTTTATTTCTTGTGAAACATACCATGATCAATACAGATCATTGAGATCAATAAATACACAATTTTACGTACTTAAACCTAATTCATATGATTATTAATACATACAGACATAAATATAAGCAAGAAAATGTCTTTCTGTCATTGGTAATGCAGGATTAACAGTTGCAACCATTGCAGAAAAAATTTACAAAACCCATGTTGGTCACTGGTTATGAATTTTTCTGCAATGGTTGCAACCATTAATTCCTGCATTAATAACAAACAAAGAAAGCATTTTATTTCTTAAATAACCTTGCTGTACAAGAACACAGGTTTTTTTTTTGAAATTATTGTATCTCAATCTCGGGTGAAACAGAAGAGTGAAATAGCTTTTATTCCCGATAGTAGCTTCTTGTACTAGTACTAAAATAGCAAACCATTTTAACTGTTTATTTTCATCCTTTTATTAAATCTAAGCAAAATGCATGTAACAATAATGATCAGATCAAATACTTTACTGAATTCTAGTCATATCACAGCTGGCCAGGGAAAAAAATTACAACACAGAATAAATGTGGAGTAGTTGGACATTTCAATTTGATTACTTGTAATACTTTCACATAACATGACATACATGTATAAATAGGTATTAAAACATCACAAGGAGTTATACATTTAAATCAATGCTCAATTCCAAAAGCTTTCCCCAAAAATCCTTTATTATGTGTCATAATTTTTATAGTAAATTGAACAAAATTTAATATGAATCAAGTTGAAGAGAACAATATCTCTAAAAAAAAATTGCATCTGACAATATTTTGTCGATAATAGGCATTGCAGTAAAATCAGGGGTTATACCTTGATAATAAGATCACAAGTTGTCAATTGACATGGCTGTATTATAACATCTCTAAATCAGGAAATGGGAGGCTAGAATGAGGTGGGTGACATTATAAAGGAATTTTTCAAAAATGTAAACATGCATAATGAACAAGAAGCTCATGGTCTTTTTCAATCACATCTGAGACTGGAAACTGGGACTCCACAATCCAACAACTTTTTTTTTAATTTGTACAGGGTTCTGCCATAATTATCACAAAATCCTAGACAGAATCCAAGATGACCTACGCATAATACATAAACATTGATCTTTAAAATGGTGAAATATTAGGTTTCTTGTCATTTATAATCAAGATTCAGTTGTGGACAAAAAGACCAAAACTGGACTTTTGTTCAGAGTTCTATGGAGGCGAGGTATACAAGCATGGAAAAGGGACATTTTTGTGCCCCCTTCCTCCATACAATTCTTTTATTCCAACCTTCCCATAGATTCAGCACAAATAAATCATCTACTGACTACATAAAACAGAATTTCAAGACTTTATAATTATAGTCATTGAAGGGAAATTGACTGGTAGATCTTTAACTGCCAATATATACAGGGTCAGAATGATTGGTTGACTGGGACAATCTTAAAATTAATAAAATAAAAGAAATACACATTGTAATGATAAAAAGAATACAAGTCAGAAACAAACTAAAACATGTTATGTTGACAACATAAAAGCAAAATGCCGATGGGCCACAATGCTCATCTGAGTCACTATGGCCCTGCTGTTCTTCATCAGCATATTTTACCCTGTACATTGTATTCCTGTGTTAAAATTTTTAAAAGATGCCATTATCTTTTTACTTATTCTTAATTATCTCCCCTTAAAAGAGGGTATGGCCCTTCATTTGAACAAATTTGAATCCCCTTCACCCAAGGATGCTTTGTGGCAAGTTTGGTTGAAATGGTCCAGTAATTCTGGAGAAGAAGATGAAAATGTGAAAAGTTTATGGCGACAGACAACGTACAATTTTCAATCAGAAAAGCTCACTTGAGCCAAGTGAGCTAAAAATCAATTAAACATAGGTCATCTGATACTGTACTACATTGAACAATATACCCATATTTTTGTAAACTGATATATGTTCAGGCAAGAAAATGAGTAATACACATTATAATTCAATTAGACCTGCATGCACTTCTGGACATTAAAAACATTTAACTGCTAGTCTTAAACCTTGGTGTTACTAATTTACCTCCAACAGTTAAGTTGAATAGTGTTACGATTTTCAATCTTTTTTGGCATTCTGCAAATTCACATGACTTCTCATAAGTAAACAAAAGATTTCAACACATTTTTGGAAAAGGTCATACCCTAGAAAAAAAAGTAATTTTGAGGTAGGCCCCCTAGAAAAATCAGTCTATGGAATCTAACTCGATACTCAATAATATATGGCATTTGTATTAAAAAACACATGAGAAAGAAAACTCAACCAGATAACACATAAGTAAGTTAACATTTTTAACAGCAATGTTGCCTAAATGTTGAAGGTATGAGCTCTTTGATAAACATCTAGTTTCATTCTGAATTTCCTTGACACCTTGAACTTGTCTTTCTGATATGACCTAACTTCTGGATTAAGACATACTACTCTTTTATAAGCAACCATTTGAAACATGGGCTCCTACACTTTCTGCATTGCACTGTCATGTTAGAGAAATGAATTTTTATGTTATGCACTGCAAAAGTCAGGACTTTGTAATAATAGTCATAACACACACTTAATCAATGTTTCAAATACATGTAATAGGAAATCCCAATGTTAAAAAGTTATTGACCAGACAACCAATTTACTCTATAATATCCTAGACTTTGCCCTTATCATTTCATGTTGCTGTTTCCAAAAAGGAAAGCATAGAAGGAAGAAAAGTCCTGCAATTTGATTTATGGGTAGGGGAAAACAACAAATCTACTTCATTAAAGATCAATCTTAAACTGCTATTAAAAAAAACTCACAAAAATTAGACAAATCAATAAAATACGCCATCTTTATAGACATATGCCACGTTTATAAAAAAAACTTTTTTTCCTTAAATTTATTTAAATCTAAATATCAGTGCAAGATCTATATTCACGTAATTAAATATGTGGACCCTGAGAGAAATTAAGAACAGACATAAATTTGCAGTTTGGTATAAATGTTACCCATATATTGCACTTCGTTTATGAGAGTTTATGAAGATAAATATCATAAATGTAAGTCATAATTTAACAACCCAGCTATAAAACAGGTCGACATGAAAACATAATCTGGACTGTAAACAAAGCATGTTTACATTGTACATACCCTGACACAATATGACATACTATCTATAATGCTTTTAAGTACATATATTATCATGTAAGAAAAAATTGGAAGTCTCTGATAAGACTGGACAATTACTGGCTTGTAATTACAGTACAGGAAGAGAAAATAGCACCTAGAAATGAAACACTTTTTTTTTTAGGTTTACAGGTACAGAATAATGTATCCTGATGTTTTTAAACTTGTATCAAATCAAAACTGTACGTGGAATAGCATTTTGAAGATTTTTACACATTCCTTTGAGTGGCTTTCACAACGATGATACTGTAAACAGAATTAAAAGCTTGGTACAGTTTATCTAATATTTGAACAAATTTCACAGAAATTAAAATTTTTAGTAACTTTCGGTTACTTTTTTAGTAATCTTAGTATAGTATACTTGTGTTCCAAGTTCAATTGAAATCAGACCAAACTTGTAGGATAGTACTATTTTGAAAAATTGTTTACAGACACACAGATGAACAATGGACTAATCATCAAATAAGCTTTGGTTCTTGACCAAAGGACATTGTATACATACAATTTCATATGGTATGTATTATTAATTTGCAAGAAATGTGTAAATATAAAGTGCTTTAAAAATTTTATATATTCCACTTATATGCACATACTTAGTACCAAGAAAATCCTGAAAAGCAAAACTTTTTCAATAGAAAAATCCAACATTTTTTTTTAACAGATAATTCATGTTGATGCTTTACATTAACTTTTGTTATCATTGGAGGTTCTCTTTCTTCAGCTCTTCTGATCACCTCCCCTGAATAATGACATGAATGAAGTAGCAGCAGTGGTGACAAATCCACTGGCTGTCAGTTGTTCTGGAGGCTGACCTGGATAAGACATGGTCTGGATGTTGGATATTGTGCTGCTGTATCCGGCTCGGGTTGGAACATCAGACATATCCGACACATCCTCTGTGACCTGCTCCCAGTCACTGATCAGTTCGTCCTCTCCTCCACCAGTGTCCGAGTCCTCCTCCTGGAGGATAACGGAGTCTTCGATGGAAGCCATTAGATTTCTGTCGATTTCAAAATTGGAATTCCTGTTTCAAATCATAAGAATTTCAGGAGTGAAAAAACCTGCATTTTTTTTTCATTTTGATTCTAAAAATTTGAAATATGTCCATATAACATAAGTGTCCTAAAAGGCACATTACCTTCTTTAAAAAAGAGACAGTAGCACTATAATATTCTTAAGGGTATATACCTTAATACACAAAGAACAAGGCAGCAACAACATAAAGTCTGTAGTGTACTTACCTTCCCAGTGATGGACATGACAGTAGCACCACAATATTCTGAAGTGTGTTTCTGGGATCTAATTGTTCTGGATTTGGAACATTCTGGGCAAAGCACAAATACAAGATATTCTGGTTTAAACAGGCCACACTGTGTTTAAACTGCCTCTCTGTTATTTCATTGGTACAGAAGTCACTGAAATCAATATTTCTTCTATTGTAGCAAATGTTGGATAGATGTTTCTTTTTATCATTCCACATGTTCAGGGCCTTTAAAAAGATTAGGAACAAGCAGTACTTTTACAAAAATAGCAGGTACCAATATATTGGCTGGTACAATCATGTTTCAGGCAGGTAAATGTACCGGGTACGAGCAGATTTTGAAAGGCCTGCATGTTGAAATTCTGTAGTGTCAAACGTTACAATACTTACAGTACACCTACAATATTTTAATCTCTGAAGTCATACATTTACCATAGCATATCATGTAAATTCTGTAAATATATTCACATGTACATGGTATGTCCTTAATCTTAACAGTATCATGATATGAATGTGACATCAAATTAAGAATGTAACTAGAAAACTGACCAGTCAGCAAGGGCCCCGCTGAGGGGTAGAAATATAAGGGTGCAGCTTACAGAATGAGAATTTTAATTGATTACAAAAATTAAGAAATATATGAAGAAGAATATGCAATAACAACTGTATTTATAAAATTTCAAGATAATTCCTAAATATCCAACAACCTGTAAAGCGTATCCCTGTATTTACAAAAGGCAGTAAAAAACATCATATCTATAATAACTCAATTAAATGTATATTTAAACAAGAATAAAGCATGTGTTTTATAAAATGCTAGCCTTCAGTGAATGCAAATATCACCCAGGCTTGACCTTAACTTCAAAACAAACATCAGTTGCAGACAAAGGTTAATTTATCTTAAAGTGACAAATAAAGATAAGCCTGGAAAATTTTCTGCCCCACACAAGATAATTAAGCCCAGGGGATTAATTGTACTGCTCTCTCATCCTTTTCTTCCAAGTTTACAATAAGAACTTTTTCAGTAATGATAGAATGAGTTTATTATCAGACTACCTGTTAAAATTAATAGTAATCTTGAATTTACATACAGCAGCAAAAAAAAAAAAAAAAAAAAAAAGAATGAATAAATAAATAAATAAAATAAATAAATAAATAAATAAAAAAAACAACAACATATCTTTATGTATATTATCTTGTTTTTAGAATTCAATAAAATCATAACTCATTGTGTATTTTACCAAAGTAAAGTATGAACATTATTTAAATCCACATTTCAGAGAATGTAACCATCATTTAGAATTGACCTTGACTTCAAAACAAACTTCATTTGCAGACAGAGGTGTTTATTAATCTCAATTCGACAGAAACAGATAATGCTTTGGATTTTCTTCAAGAGGAAAGTTAATTAATCCCATGGGACTAGTTGCAGCTTTCGTAGTTTACAATAGGAACATTCTCAGGAGTTATCTCTCTTTGCCCTGGCATTCATTCTAATGTAAAGTTTAGGAATCTACCCCACCACCCCAGCTCCAAACTGGATGACATAGAGAACCAAACTAAGCATCAAAATATGTCTTACTGCCTCTTCAACCAACATACCAAATTTGAACTTAATTGGTCAACTACAAAAAAAGTTATTAGAAAAAAACAGAAAATTTGTGGACGGAAGAATGACAGACAGACGGACAGACAGACAAAGTGATTACTATAGGGCACCCGCAAATCCTTGCGGGGCCCTAATAATTTAGCTATTTAGACATCAAAGTCTAAATGAGAATTTCCCTCAGCCATTTCTCACCTGCTTCACATTCTTGATAAATTCTCTGTTACTCTCAACATTATATTGATTTTGATACCAACTGTACAGCTGAGACATGGAGTTGGGAATAATATTACCAGGGACAGATAACCAGACTTGTTACCACAGACAGATAACCAGACTTGGTGATACTTTGTGGGTGGTAAACATAAAGCTCACCTGTAAGGCTGTTTTCTAGGAAGACGGATATCCAATATATGACTAAGTACAGCAGTCATCTGACTGGCATAACACAACCCAGCACTGATTCTGTGACCAGGATTTCTCAAACTGTTGTCAGGGTTACCACCATTTTCCTGGCTTGCAGCCACTGCAATAGAAAAACCAAGAAGGATACTATGAGGCAATGTCATAAATTTTATGATAAAATAAATTTATCCTTTACATAAACTGCTATAAAAAGTCATCCAATATGCTTTAAAAGTCCTCCAATCAATAAAATCAATTTTCTTTGACATTACATATACATACACTTAAGGGAATTCTAATGATGTATTTCTTGTCAAAAGAAACTTATTTCATCTTCATCTATCCCTGTAATAGCCCTTCCAATAAGCCTTAATACGGTTTCAGCTGACTTACCCCACAAGTTATATGCTGAGTAATCCCCACTACAGGGTAATGTGGGCTCCACAATTCTGTGCTGAGCCTCCCCACTACCATCTGTGTATACCCACTGTCCTCTAACATACGCTGTGTGACTGGCATCTCGGAGTGCACTCACTGTGCTCACAGCCATTGAGTCTGTTTCACTGGAAATATATGTATGTAAGGTTAATGTACATTGTCACCTTCCAGAGTTCACTCTTGAGTTTTAAGGATAAAAGTGTATTAACTATGTTCTGATAAACATATAAATAATACAACAATACCATAATGGAATGTGCACCAAAAAAATTTTTTATGAAGAATACTACTATTTTTTCTTTTGTACTTTGTGGGTCTGAAAAATATCAATCTAGAGTATATATGCTGTGACCTAGACCTAATATATGACATTGTGCTCTTTCAGATGTTGCATATCACCATGTTAATATCTTTTTGGAATGTACAACAAGAAAATCTTACAGAAAGCAACTCTTTTTGCTTTTTTCTGTATGGGTCTGTGGGATGTCAGAGTATTTATTCAAGAAATACATGCTGTGACCTAACAGTCAGATATGACCTTGAACATTCCAGGTATTGCATCTCACTGTGATAAATATAAGCAGTTGATGTCAGAATATTGTAATAGTAAGCATGAGTAAGTAAAATCACCAAGGCATATACAGAAAAATGAAAACCTGGTTCAATTCACACGTCCCTCCACCCTCCCCAATAAAAATAAGACTGAAGGTAATAGTCATAGTATATGGTCAAAGGAATGGCAAAAACATACTTTAAGCACACATATATTGTTTATCATCTCAAATATACATGTATACTTCAGAAATCTGAAATGACACCCAAACTTTGCAAAATTATATAATCAGTAATAAAGTACCTTACATAATCAGTAACAAAGTACCTTAAATAATCAGTACCAAAGTACCTTAAATAATCAGTACCAAAGTACCTTACGTAATCAGTAACAAAGTACCTTACATAATCAGTACCAAAGTACCTTACATAATCAGTAACAATCAGTACCAAAGTACCTTACATAATCAGTAACAAAGTACCTTACATAATCAGTAACAAAGTACCTGACCAGAGCCACCTCTTCCACCTGAAAAATAAACTGCACCAATCTTTCCACCTGGATTTTTCTCTCTGCCGCTAGTTCTCTTTTCTTTTCTATGCAGAGCTGCTGTTTATCTTCATTTGTTGCCCTCACAGTTTCTATGTAGGAACAGATGCGCCTTTTCTTCTCTTCATGTCTTCGACCTCTTACGACTCGCTGGTAGTTTTCTCTCTTCTGTTTATCACAAAAGTCTTTGCCTGCAAACATTGTAAAATTTTAATTTTTCTGTGTCTTTCAAATGTAAACTTTTTCTTGTCATTTACACCCATATGATAAGATGTGTCTTACCACTTTGGCAAATATGAAGAATAAGCTTATTGAGTTTAATAAATTGTACATATTAAAATCATATGTGAAATTCTGTAAACAAAACAAAAAAAATTCTGAAAATGTTGAAAGTAAAATCATCTTCTCTGAAATTAATGTTATTTCTTTGGAAATAAAATTAATCATTAATTTAGGACTGAAATTCAAATAGAGATTCTCGGAACGCTTACTCATGTTTTATATTCAGGGAAGAGTCAGAGTGGACACCATACTGAAAACCTGGAATTCCATGCTACCAGCTAGTTTGTAATTTTTCCTACCTTTTGCATCATAATTCAAGATGCCCCCCTTCTAGGCTCAGTAGATTTGTTGCAGAAAGATAAGATTTTCATGTTTGCTATGAATTTACAAATTCCACTCTAGTCTGTTTAAGCACTAGCTGTGTTGTGATCATCAACAAACATCCATCTCATTCCAGCTGAAGAGGACCTTATCCGAGACTGTGGATGTTGGTCAGTGATCTCTGTGCTTAAACAGCACAACAAGCAAATTAGCAAACATGATGAAAATGTGATTTAATTTTCCTGCAATAAATCTTCTGAGTTTGAAGATTTCTTATGACACAATAGGTAAGGAAGGTTATAACAAAAGCTGTTTGTGGGGTATTCCCAGTATGATCTCTGCTCTGACTCTCACTTGCACTACAAAATACAGTAAAACTTGGTTATAGCTAAGTCCTGGGGACCTGTAAATTTACTTTGCTATATCTGTAATTCATTATATCCATATAACAAATAAGTATATATAGCGAGCGAATTCGCAACATACACATTTTCCTTCAAGTATTACTACCGAATATGTTAGGGAGGCAATTATTACAAAACATACCTTGGATAACTAGGTTTTTAATGATTGAATTGACTATATTGAATTATATACAAATACTTAACGAAAATAAAGTCAGCTCAAATTTTGAGATCTTTGTTATAATTCGTTATAAAAGATGTAAATTTTGCATTTTTAACTTTTATGGATTCAAAATCAGTTCACTATAACCATAAATTCGTTATGTCAGAGTTTGTTATAACCATAAAATTTTACAAAGAAATGTTAGGAATTTTGCAGAGAACCCCGAAAACTTCGCTATATCTGTGAATTCGCTATATCCATTTTCTTACTAAATGAGTTTTACTATATAAATGCAGAGGTGAGGGGAAAAAAGAATAACAGATTTCAATTCACAAAACTCCGATTTCAGATTTAAAAAACAAGAAGTCTGTGAGCCAATGCTCACTAATAATACCCCCACTCTGATGTGAAAACACAGGTTCAGTTATGGACAGACACAGAGTTAATCAGGAAATTGACATCCAATTTGTACAAAAATGAATCCCTGGCCAACATATGGCATGTCTAAACAAAGAGTGTGTTAAAATTTCAAGCATCTGCGATTAGTAGTTGCTGAGAAAACTGCAACCCAAATTTGTTATGTATGGTACAGACAGATGCACGGATAAATAGGAAGTTGACATCGGATTTGTACAAAAATGAATCCCACCATATGGGTTGCCTAAACAAAGAGTGTGTTAAAATTTCAAGCATCTGCGATGAGTAGTTGCTGAGAAAACTGCGACCAAAATTTGTTGTGTATGGTACGGACAGATGCACGGATAAACAGGAAGTTGACATTGGATTTGTACAAAAATGAATCCCACCATATGGCATGCCTATACAAAGAGTGTGCTAAAATTTCAAGCATCTGTGATGAGTAGTTGCTGAGAAAACTGCGACCAAAATTTGTTATGTATGGTACGGACAGATGCACAGATAAACAGGAAGTTGACATTGGATTTGTACAAAAATGAATCCCACCATATGGCATGCCTATACAAAGAGTGTGCTAAAATTTCAAGCATCTGCAATGAGTAGTCGCTGAGAAAACTGCAACCAAAATTTGTTATGGACAGACACACAGATGGTCAGACAGATGGACGGACAGACAAACACACAAGGGTAAAAAAGTATATCACCCTCTCCTTCAGAGCAGGGGTATAAAAAGGAAGACAATTTGAATACACCTGACATTTGTAAAAATCATTTGTCTGCATAAAAGTTGCACCATGAAAACAGAAAAGTGTGAGGTAAGAAAGAATGAAAGAAAAAGTGAGCAAGCTCACATACCCCACGCTTCCCCAAAACTCGACAATGCAACACGTAATGAATGGCACAGTGCATTTTAAATACACAGTATAATTCAAAAAAGGGGCATTACTTGCAAAAAATCATCACATCAAAACTTCTTGCATATAAGGACATTCAAATCTTTGTATGTTACAAATTTAACTGGGCTGAAGTTTCTAGATAAATAATGGAATCAAAATTTCTTGGTAATATACAAATCTATACATTATTCTGAAATACCTACAAAATTTCAGGAAATTCAGTGCCGGAATTATGCTGACAAACTGTTATTTAAATTCCTCAGTGATTTCGATTTGTTAATGAGTGTAAGTCCATGTCCAACACATGACAGTTTACACATTTAAATAATTGATGGAAACAAAATTATGATGCAGTCATTCATATGAATCTGTTTATATACTGTACTTATGAAATTATTGAAGGCAAAGCACACCAATTTGAAGGGGGGGGGGGGGAGAACTATCAAAGATGGTGTGTGTGTGAGTGTGTGTTTGTGTTAAACCATTAATATTTTGATCTCAAAATCAATAGGGGTCTTTTAAGGTCATAAAATATTTCACATAGAATTTCATTATAAAAAGCTGATTCCAGTGAAGTTTCTTATTACCTAGCTGGAAAGTTTCTTCAATAAAAGGCAAAACTCTTAAGGCAAAAATAATGGAATCGGAATTTCCTGGTAATATGCACATCTACACACTGTGTACTAAATATCTGCAAAGTTTGTCCAAATTCTGTGCAGCGGTTTAAGAGGAGTTGTGCTGACAAACTGTTCATCTCTATATTCAAGATATGGCCAAAAACCTAAGTTGAAAAGTGCCGAAATTCCCAGAAAAAATAATGGAATCAGAATTTCCTGGTAATATGCACATCTACACACTGTGTACTAAATATCTGCAGAGATTGACCAAATTCTGTGCAGGGGTTTAAGAGGAGTTGTGCAGACAAACTGTTCATCTTTATATTCAAGATATGGCCAAAAATCTAAGTTGAAAAGTGCCGAAATTCCCAGAAAATATAAAGGAATCGGAATTTCCTGGTAATATGCACATCTATACATTGTGTGCTAAATATCTGCAAAGTTTGACCAAATTCTATGCAGCGGTTTAATAGGAGTTGTGCTGACAAACTGTTCACCTCTATATTCAAGATATGGCCAAAAACCTAAGTTGAAAAGTGCCGAAATTCCCAGAAAAATATGGAATCGGAATTTCCTGGTAATATGCACATCTACACACTGTGTACTAAATATCTGCAAAGTTTGACCAAATTCTGTGCAGCGGTTTAAGAGGAGTTGCGCTGACAAACTGTTCATCTCTATATTCAAGATATGGCCAAAAATCTAAGTTGAAAAGTACTGAAATTCCCAGAAAAATAATGGAATCGGAATTTCCTGGTAATATGCACATCTACACATTGTGTCCTAAATATCTGCAAAGTTTGACCAAATTCTGTGCAGCGGTTTAAGAGGAGTTGTGCTGACAAACTGTTCATCTTTATATTGAAGATATGGCCAAAAATCTAAGTTGAAAAGTGCCGAAATTCCCAGAAAATATAAAGGAATCGGAATTTCCTGGTAATATGCACATCTATACATTGTGTGCTAAATATCTGCAAAGTTTGACCAAATTCTGTGCATTGGTTTATGAGGAGTTGCGCTGACAAACTGTTCATCTCCATATTCAAGATATGGCCAAAAATCTAAGTTGAAAAGTGCCGAAATTCCGAGAAAAATTAAAGGAATCGGAATTTCCTGGTAATATGCACATCTACACATTGTGTCCTAAATATCTGCAAAGTTTGACGAAATTCTGTGCAGCGGTTTATGAGGAGTTGCGCTGACAAAAAAACAGGACTGACGGACTGACTGACTGACTGACACACTGACTGACTGACTGACTGACGGACGGGTCAAAAACATTATACCTCACGCAACTTGTTGCGTGGGGTATAAATATCATTGATTAATTGTTACAGAGAGTCTTAAATTCATTTTAGCTGAAATATATAAGCTTTCCTCCAGATGATAACTACCTTAATGTGCTAAATTATAACATACAAAACATTATACATACAAAACACTATACATGTACATACCCTTTAATCTCACTTCTTTTGCTGCAGCAAGGGCCTTTTTTAAAAGCTTGATCCTTTCTCTGCATTGTTCAATTTCACTTATCTATACAAAATTTAAAATCATAATTTATGACAATGAAGCAGTTAATATAAGCAAACACATATCATCCTTAAAATTGAATGCACAGTGTTTTGTCTGCAATGCAGAACTTCTCTTCTTTTTTCAAAATGTCTGTTTTTGATCAATATGATATAAAATCTTGGTAACACTCAGGTGACCCCAATGACTACATTAGTTTGGGTAAAGTCCAGATTAAACAATATTGCCAAAGCCAGTGAAAGCTCAAAATCTAACGTTATTCATACTTTTTCCAGGTTTAACTGGTGTCTATGGAAATTTTGAATTAAAAAAATAGGTGTCTTATTTCTTAGCGAAAATAAATGCATTAAACTTAGACATTTGAGCAAATAAAATGTGTGAATTGTACATATTTGTTGCTTAATATTGCTGGTCTTAAAGTCAACTTTGTTAAATTCATTTTTTTTTGTCCAAGACTAACATGATTCCTCAAACAATAAAGGACTAAAGACACTAGAACTTTTGCTATTGCATTAGCATACCCAGTATGTCATCCCGAACTGATCCCAATGCAGTATTACAGAAGTTAAAAGCAGAGTAAGCAAGTACACATAAAGTTAGCACAGTATTTTGCAAGACAGCATACCTAAACAATGTCAATACACACTGCCACAAGACAGCATACCTAAACAATGTCAGTACACACTGCCACAAGACAGCATACCTAAACAATGTCAATACAAACTGCCACAAGACAGCATACCTAAACAATGTCAATACACACTGCCACAAGACAGCATACCTAAACAATGTCAATACACACTGCCACAAGACAGCATACCTAAACAATGTCAATACACACTGCCACAAGACAGCATACCTAAACAATGTCAATACAAACTGCCACAAGACAGCATACCTAAACAATGTCAATATACACTGCCAAAAAGACAGCATACCTAAACAATGTCAATACACACTGCCACAAGACAGCATACCTAAACAATGTCAATACAAACTGCCACATGACATTAACTTTTCTATCTCCCAAGAGAAAGAGCAAACTGTTACTATAGTTAACTCATTCATTCTTTCCATGACAACGCAACAAACTTTAAATGCAAGGATTCCAATTTTGGGGTAGAAAATACCTCAACAGAATACAATCTCTTAAAGTTTAAAAAAGTTTAGATGAGCAATTACTGAGAAAAATTAAATTAAAATAGTGCTGATCTTGTCTGTTTCCATAGAAACCATGCCCATTTTGAAAATTTCATGTGTAAATGGCAGATCTACAGTTGGTGATTATCATTTCTGTGAAGTTTTATTAAGATTCTCCCAGCCACCTCCGAGAAAATTTTCTCCCAAATTTTAGGTCTTGCAATAACAATATATCGCTTGACTTCATAATTATATATGTGTGATTTTTAACACATAAGCAAACACTCAATGAAGCTAATTCACACTTACTTTCTGGTCCCTTTTTAAATGATTTTTAAGTGCATCTTGTACCCTAAAAATAAATTAAGATGATAATGATGCATCACTTTAGAATATAAATAAATTAGCGTATGGCAATTCATTGCACTCTTGAGTTTTGTTTACAGAATAATATAAAGTACCTTTCCAATCGTCCCCGTCTTTCTTTTTGTAATAATTCTAGCTTATGACTTTTTTCCCTGTACCTGACAATGTGAAATTAAAAAAAACAACAACACAACATTAGCCATTAGACAGAATGTTCTATAATTAAAATGATAATGTCCTATGAACATATGGTAAACAACATATTTTTTTTTCTGTGTGCTGGCAAGGTAAAAAAAAAAAATGAGCATATAATTCTAATTTACCTGTATACTGTACAATTCTGAGAGTTCTGAATGTCAACTTGCTGAATAAATTTGAAGCCCAAAAAACCCCACACTTCTGTGTCAAGCTTTTCCCCCTTTTATATGTACTTTTTTTAGGATAGTAGGTACATACAAGCTTAAAAGAGTTTGTTATGATTAATTTTATGGTTATTTTCAGTGCATCTCCTTTCGAATTCTAAAAAATCATGCCAAATAAGATTCTCTTCATTTTGCTGCACTGCAATGAAATGGATTGAACGATTATAGTTCAATCCACACTTTGCAAGATGTAAACTGAGTTTTGTCCCGTTGTGGGGTCAACCCAAATGTCAAAAGGGAAAGAAACTGTTTCTCTTCTATATGCTACCAAACATTTGGGCATTGATGTATGGATAGCCCCATTTATGGCAAAAAATTAGTGCTGAATTTTACCAATGTTTCCACAGGTTACAAAAGCTTTTCCCTGAGCATCATTATTTCATTCAATGCAGGTTACACTGGTTACAAGTTACACTGGTTACAGTGGTAATTGCAGTGGTAAACGTCTGTCCCAAGTCAAGTTAAATTATTCTTACTAATTAGTCATACCAGAACTTTGAGTGTGAAAGTTCAAGGGTATTATTCTGTTTACTATATGACCTTGTATCGATGGAGAAGACATATCATTGACATGCAGAAATCAAACTGACTGCAATGGCAGACGACGCAAAATGTTTACCTTTCAGGGTGGCTTCCAGTCGAGTGAACAAACAGGCCGCCATTCACACAATCTCTGCAATAAAATGATCTCCTACTTCCATCACATAAAGGACATCGTTCCACTGCAACCGTCAGCCCAGAGGAACTTTCTACTGAGCTGGCCAAGTCAAATTCTGTTGGTGCCAAGTTACTTTCACAAGAGCTGGAGGTCGCCATTATAAATATGGAAATGACGTAATTTTGTTTCTCCAATAGAGAAACCGATCACAAAAATATTCCGGAAACTTTTTCTTTAAGTCACTAATCGGCTCCCTACTTTAAAAAAAAAAAATAATAATTCAAAGATGCTTTTGCTTTACATTTTTAATAATAGTTGTGCTTTGATACAAAAAAATCAACAGATTTTAAAGCTATTCCCTTTTCACAAAAAGAAGAAAAATGGGGGTGGGGTGGGTGTCTTAGAACTGTATTCTGTCTGTGCATTCTGTTTTATGGGTCAAATCTGTTTTGTTCGGGACAAAGGTTAACTCATACTTTAATAGCATACATGGGGAGTTCCTGCCTTTCATCCTATTCTTACAGGCCTATGTTGAATCTTTGCCCGTTTCAATATGGCCATTATGGATATACAAAATATGTACCCTCTAGATAGATCATGTAGATGGCTTTGATAAAAATGTTAGACAAGCTTAAAATCGTCGACATGTACATAGAGGATATTCAATGTTTTGTAGATGAATACGGAATATATTTCACTCGTGGGACAGGATTTTTTGATATTTTCACGAGTGCGAAGCACGAGTGAAAATATAAAAAAAATCCTGTCTCAAGAGTGAAATAAATTCCATATTCATCTACAAAACATTGAATTTTCTGTTTATTACATTTTCTTTGATTTTCCCTTTGCCTCCGTCTTTTCTTAACACAGTGTCATAGGCTTGACGTCATAGTTGAGCGGTTGAGACGTCATAGCTTAGAAGTTGTGTGTCAGATTGAAAACATAATATAGCATGGATTTTAGCAACATATTTAGGAAGAAATTTGCAGTTTTAGCTCTATCAAGATGCTTAGTTACTATCTCTATCTTATGACTGGCCAGAAATTATTTTTTACTTACTTTGATATCCTTTCACACTGTGAGAGAATATCATTTTTGGTATTCTTTCACACTGTGAGAGAATATCACTTTTATTCAATAAATAAATCACAGTATTTCACTGTTGAAAATGTAATAAATCACAGTATTTCACTGTTGAAAATGTAATAAATGTATTTATTCATTTTTTTTCAGCATCGGTATTTAAGATGCTAAACGCATTTATCACTTCATGAATTTAGGATGTAGGAAACAATTTCACTGTGAGGGACACAACCATATAATTATATTTTCAGTTGGAGGGAGGGGGGCACTATAAAGTACCAAAATTCCTTAACAAGCAAAAAAAAAGTCATCAGACATTATTATTGAGGGGCACAAGCATATTGTAGCTATGTTTTCCATAGTATTCTATATATCGGCAAAATGATTGGGGGAACGCCCCCCCCCCCAGTTCCTAAGGCCATGTATTACAACCACCATGCAGAGACATAGAGGGGGTCGGGAGGGGGGGTCAGAACCCCCTTGGAATTTGTGTAGGTATTAAAAGTATATACTGAAGCAAATAAAAAATGACTTTGGACCCCCCCACCCCCCCACCCCCTAGAAAACGTGTCCCCACCATTACCACCACGAAATTAGTGTTTTTCGCGTTTTGGAAATGGAATTTTCCTTTTTTTTTTTTTTTTTTTTTGCTTGTTAAGAAATTTTTGGATTGGAAATTTTTTTTGTCTGGGGTTGAAAGCAATATTATAATATTGTAGATTTCGTTAGGACTATGATATTGGTAACTTCCAAAACTATTTACATGACGCAGGACTGTTCTTCTAAATAAATGAATTTCGCATATAACACTCAAAAAATGCGGTTCCTTAAGGTATGTCACTCTGGTCATATCAAGAATTTTTTATTCATTCATTCATTTTTTTATTATTATTATTTTTTTTATTATTATTTATTTTTTTTTAAAGGTATGTCACTCGTGAAATTTGTTATATCAAGGATTTTTTGAGAAGTATATTTTGGATAAGTACTCATATAGAATGACTCAAAATCGCAGAGAAAATGGGGGGTCAGTGTGCATCTAACTGAGCTACGGTACAATTAAGTTGACCTTTTTGCACTTAAATTGTAACTCTTTGGTTAATCACTCTAACCGTTATCATATTTTATCAGATGTAACCATGGCAATAAACATAATCTTATTTTACGTAAAATAGTTTGAATAATATTTATCATTGAACAAATCATGCAAATTAATGCGCGTAAATTATTGTGTGACCTTTTTGCACTAAAAAAGTCTCATATTTGGGGTATTAAAAATCTAAATAGGCAATAGAATATTTTCTTGTATCAAACTTTTTACGACTTAAGTGCTGATCGGCCAAAAGTATCAAGTAGTTTAAAATTATGAAAGAAAAAGTTTGGGTCAGTGATGTAAATTTTGAAATATTGGTCAAAATATGCGATTTTCTGGCAAAAAACTGTGTAAATTTTATCTCGACTTCCTTAATATATCTTCATTTCTTGGCAAAGTTTGTTGAGCGAAGGTGTAAATTTTGTTATAAAAATATAAATTGAGACCTATATTTAATATTCCAGGCATATCATAACGGAAAATATTCTCTGAGTAAAAGTATGTGAGGCTAAAGTTCCAAGATATTAAATTTAATAAATGTGTAGATTTGCAGAATTTTCTGCTAAATATCCTTCCACCACAAGAAATAGTCCCTTATAAATCTTTCTTCTTTATGCATTTTTGAGCAGTTTTTTTAATTGAATGTTGAACATTTTACATTGTTTAATTTAAATATGTTATAAAGATTGAATTGTAATAAATAGTTTTTAAGTAAGAGGTTTTGACTGAAATTTTCTAAAAGGCTGACGAGTGACATACCTTAATTTTATTTATTTTTTTTTTTTAGTTTTAGTCATCTACTCATATACATGTAGCATAACTCAAAATCGCAAAGAAAATTGGGATTAAGTGTTCATATTACAATTAATTTGACCTTTTGCACTTAAAAATTGTAGCCTTCAGGTTAATTACTTTAACCTCTATTATATTTTACCATATGTAATTATGGCAATAAACTATTTTATGCAAAATTGTTTGAAGAATCATGACATATCATAGAAAAAATGCTTAAAATTAATGCGCATAAACTATTATGTGAATTTTGTACACTAGTAGAATATCATATTTGCCAAATGAGGTATTAAAAATCTAAACAGGTAACTGAATATTTTCTCACATGTTTCATTAAGCTTTTTATAAACTTGAAAGTATCCTGCAACAATGAAATGAAAAACAATGAAATCAAAAGTTGGGCCCAAAAATATAATTTTTGAACTATGGAAATTTAGGCTTAAATATTTTATCTGCAATTTTCTTCTGTGAATATTGTACTCCTCATGTAGCTAAATTATCGCATTGACCTCAAAACAGATTATTTCAAATTAAAGTTATCGCCGGAATTTCGTCCATGGTAGATTCGATTTTTTATAATGACCACGCATGCTCGTAGGGGTGTTATCGTCCATATTTGTTTACCTTTTTGGAGAAGAGAAGTCGCATCAGAGAGTCAGTCTATTTAGATTCCATAGGACATAGAAAAATATAGACGTTATGGATTTTACAATGGATTAATGAACTTTTCTCCATTACAGTCATATTTTAGGAATAGACTCGTTGAGTCACATCGAAATAATCAACAGATTTTTGTTGAGCACATGTCAGCATTTCAGCAAGGTGAAGCTTCGACCGATCATTGACAGTGGGGGAGCTTTTGTGTCGTCATCATCCTCAACTTATTAATCCCTCCACATTGATTAGATAGTTCATAGAAATATTTATAGACCCGTCACAATGGGAAACTCATCTTCGTCCTCTTCTCGTAGTAGACATATTTCAGGCGATGAAACGGGTCCATCGCTCACCGCCGGAAAATTTCTGTCGGACTCCAGTTGCAGTCAAGATAACTACGAGGCCCTTCTGAAATCAGGATACAGGGTGATTATTTTCGCTTTGTTTACACACTCTCCTTATATTGGCCATATTGTTTTTGACAGTTCGGGGCAAAAATATAAACAAAAACAACTTCAAGGTCACATGAATAATTCTGTTTACATTAGTGTTACAAGTTTGTTTACAGTGTTGTAGTGATAGATTTATAAGATGTTAACTGTTTAGTGGACTTAAATATTGGTCATCTTTGGTGGATATCATTTTTTGTGAGGAAGAGATGTGAACACTTTGTTATTGAAGGTTCCAATGCTGTCATTTTCAGTATTTCAGATCTAACCTTTGTAAACCTTTTAGTGTCCTATGATAAGACTGATTTATGGCATGACCATATAGGAATATTTCAACAAATATATGACTGTGTAAAACTGTGTAAAGTATATATATAACGTTATATATGGTTCTAGATAAATTGATGAAAGCAATGAACCAGAGTTTCTGGGTTCAATACTCAGCAGTAAAAAAAAGGTTTAACTGAAGTAGTATTGAGTGAGATAGACTGAATAATTGACAGATTTATACTTTCAATTTAATGGAATTTTATTTGGATTTATCTTTAAGTTTTGATAACACCTTTTTTTTTAAATATAGAGACAGAGGGCTGCAACAACACAAAGCCAGGGAGACACATCTATCATGAAACCCAAGCTTCTCCCAACAGTCTTTAAGTGGGAAGGGGGAGGCAAAGATGTCTACATCACAGGTTCCTTTAATAACTGGCAGTCCAAAATACCGCTTGTTAAGAGGTAGGTATATACATAAGCATTTAAAAATCAAAGAACACTGAACTACTGATAATACAGATGTTATTTGCATTTAACTTGTTTAAATGCCATTTAACTTTTGAACCAATAAAAGGATTCACATTTGAATGCTTGAATACTTTTTAAAATGATCACATTTGTCTCAGAATACTTGTTTAAGCTTACCAGAGTCATAGGCTCAAGTGTGCTTTCCTGATCACAAGTTGTCCAAGTCTATGAACTGTCTGCTTTTATTACCTTTTTATATTTGAACTTCTGCAGAGCCAAGAGGAAATTTTCATGCAAGCTTGTCAGGCTTTGGAGAGCCTCATACCATATCAAGAGGAGATAATAAGATAGAGAAAATATGGCTTTATTTGAAACTCTGTAGAATCAGAGCCAAAAAGGTCTAAAGTAAAATAAAGGCTTCTGCAAACAGTACACTTTTAGATTTTATTTAAATGAACATATCCAGGGGATATGAACTATTGAAAGGAAGGCCTTTGACTTAGAATGTGGCTACATAAGGGTTTCATGTTTGACAGAAAGAGAAGTGGTGAGCATTGTGGCCCATGACCCTTTTGTTTGTTTCATATGATTATTTTTTACAAGAATTTCTGTATAGTTTTCTTTTCTTTTTTTTCTTAACTGCTTACCAAAAATATATATATAACGAGAAGAGCCACAACTGTATGTAATAGACAAAAAGATTTATTTGACTTCTGTCCAGGAACATAGTTCTTGGCATAATTTTCAATGCATATTTTAATTTTCCTAGCAGTCATGATGGTGAATTTCTCACCATAATTGATCTACCTGAAGGGGATTACCAATATAGATTTTGTGTTGATGGCAACATGTGTGTTGACCCCAATGAGGTAATAGTTGGAAAGTTGATTAAGACACACTATGTTGCTTGCAAGAGGCTATGTCATGCTTGATAAATGTACTCTGAGTACTCTGTGTGATTTCATAAGTCATCTTCTGTACACTTTGGTTATTTGAGCAGTTTTCTTGAGGGCATTTTTTTCATGGAATTGCACCCACATTTCAGTATTATATTTTATTATTTATGGTTGAAGTGAACATATGTATTTACATATTTTTATATTAAATGAAAAAAAAAATTAGATTTCCAATTTTGTTTCAGCCTTCCAGATGTGTGGTCTGAAATTCTACTTAATATTCTTAATATTTCATTTAGTACTATTGCAGATGTTCAAAGCTTAAATTATAAGATACATTTTAATAAATTTTAGGATTCACTGTGAAGTGCAAATATTTACAATAATTATATGCAAGCTTAAATTTGTTTTGAGTTGAGATCAAGATTTCATAATGTTCTATAACCATTATGATTCTTAAGAAAATACAAGTACTGACGTAACCATTGTGTGGTTAGACATTTTGATCTGAATCAGATGACTGTTTGAATTAAAATTCTAGAAACATTCATTTCTGTACCATGCATAAATTGCCACAGAGTTTACAAGAACATTTATCAAGCATTACCCTATCTAGGCTTTATGCATGCTTGTAATTTCTCAGTAGACTAATATCGTTGAAACATTTTCAGTCATGGCGATTTTACTACCATTGTTGATTTACCAGAGGGCGATCATCAGTATAAGTTTTTTGTTGACGGGCAGTGGGTCCACAATGCGGATGAGGTATGTCTTCGCCGTGAGTGATGTTCTCTGTAGAATAGAATGACGGGTTTGAGAAACCTTACAAAAAGAAAGCTGAAGAATTGGTGGGAGGCAAGAATTGATTGGGATGGGGGGGTATTGAGGTTCCTTCAGTGTTGGAAACTGCGAGATACACAGAAATGGAGGAAAAATAGCAACAGAGAACATATCTTGCATTTACCAATGCACATTCCAAAAGTAGATGTAATACATTGAAAAAAATGCAGACTGAGTTGTGCATCTTTAGAATGCCACGGGGTAGCCATTTCCCTTTAGATATCATGTAAAGACAGAGTGAAAAGTTTGTAGAAAACATCATGTCCACCATGGCAAAAGAAACTACTTGAACACTTACCGTGTAATATGATTCCAAAATTTTTCAGTTTGAATTTTCTTCGTTGATGCCAGGGTAATGATAAAAATTATTTACTTAATAAATGTTTTTAGTATCATTAATTATTAATGAAATTTTCATCTTAAAATGGTCACTTTAATTGAATGATCAGATATGCTTTCCAGATGCTTAATATAGTCACTGCTTAATCATATAATCCATGATATTGAAAGCCTTTTCTCCAAGTAACCACTACCATTACAAAAAGAATCTTCTCACTTGTTGCTTATAAGGAACATACCAGTGCCTCTTTCCCTTTTCTTCAACAAATATGTTTTCTTCCAAGGATATTTACCTCATCTTCTGGCTGCAATGTGTAATTCTTGTTCCAGATTTTTGGATATAGCTGCCCTTGGAGTGTTTTACTCTCTCAATCTGTATTCTCTTTTTATTCTAATATGTGGGAATTCTTCATTCAAATTAGAGGACTACAAATTTCCAGTGACACTTTCTATTCAGTGTGTGAGCTAATTAATTACGCTTCTATTGTGAAATGTTAATTTAGGGATACATTTATTTCGATAGGTTTTCAACTGCATTTAAATCTGTTTTCACCCTAAAATTATGTTTAAAGAATGTTGCGGAGATATGTACATGTATGATGAATGCCGCAGTGAAAAATTAAATATAATGCCAGTGACAGAGGAACTTATATTCTACTATGGTTATAGCAAAGATCAAAGAGATGCCACAGCCATTATTCTCCAATAAATCACAAACGTCATCAACAAATTATCAATAATTTTAACTCGGTTTCAAATAGAAATAATTCCCTATTCGTCGGAATTGTTGGAGAATATAACCCTCAGTAGAGAGATTTTGTTGGCAAATAAAAACCTCGCCAACAAAATCTCTCGACTATCGGGGTATAGTCTCCAACAATTCCTCTGACTTGGGAATTATTTCTTAAATAATACATGTATCACTGTCAAGATATTCAGTAAGAAAATGAAATTGCACCCAAATTGAGAATCATGACATTAGCCGATATACTTGTTACTAAATGTTTAGGGTGTTGGATTATTGATGTGTATAATGCATGCTATTCATTATTGCAGATTACGTGTAACAGTTTATGTATTTGTTGAGTAACCTGTTTTATTGTCAACTTTGTATTACTGTTGATGTGTTTTCAGTGATGGGGGATTCTGATGCATGCATGAAACCATATATTTTCACGATGGGAATCGAGCAAACTCAATATATGAGTCTTTTTATCAGCTTTCACTTTAGTAATGTATTCATCATTAAACTGTATTTAAGATCTGTTTTGATAGTTCCACTGATTTCTCGGCTTTCTGCAGGAATAAAATCCTTTCATTTACCTTAGAAAGATAAAAGATCACCTTCTATTAAAAAAAATAATCTGTTAATTTTGTTTTTAAAGGCTAATTTAACATTGAAAATTTTTGAAAAGTGTGCAAAGCTTGCTTTGGAATGATTCATATGGGGTAATATTTGATAAAGTCAGCTTTTATAGTCAGTTCTAGACCACATGTAGCCCATGCTTCATCAGATAGAGTTCCTTGAAACATGACAAGGTTGGCATCATGGGAAGATTCAAGCTCGTTATTCAGATTAATATGTATATATTAATATATGTAAAAAGTGTGTCCCTTCAAAAGTGTGGTTACAAAATTTGCATTGTTATTTATTAGAAGGGTGGTTTTGAAAAACTGTTCTTAAGGTTAAAGATCTGGATATGCTGAATTCCACATAGGTACAATGCAAAAGATGGATAACTGATACATATATTGATTTCATATTGAAATAATGATAGGTGTGTGATAGTTTTGAACATTTTACAAAAGACATTTTTTTTTGGTGATAACTTTTTGTGCTAGCTTTCATCCTGAAACAAAATTTCTTGCTAGTGGATATACTGAAAAGTGATGTACTTAAAATTTCAAACCAGTTAATAGAGAAGCATTCAAGTTCCGATGTCTTGACCAATGTTTTGATTAGAATGTTACATGACCGATAAGCATTCGCTACTATTGTATGACTTGTTTTTAGTGTTAACTGCATTATAATTACATAAATGTATTTCTTTTACCACAGCCAACTGTCACCAATGACAAAGGCACTCAGAATAATGTGATTTCTGTGAAGAAGTCAGACTTTGAGGTGTTTGAGGCACTTGCCCTGGACAGTCTGAATACAAACAGCAACAAGAAAGGGCGTAAGTCAAATCTCAGTAGAGTTTGTCACTAACCTGCAAGTTTTTCATTTGAGAAAAATGTGTAAGCAAAAATAAAATTTGATACATCAACAATGTGCAACATCTAAGTCTTTTCTATTAAGCTTAAAGCTGGAATCTTTTTTCCCCAAGTTAAAGCTCTGGTTCATCTTAATTATAAATATTTTTATGCAAATATATTTGTTGAGCTGCTTTCAACATCTAGATGTTGATGTAAGGAAAGAAAATGAATAAATTCATGAAATTCTCTGAAATGTATCATCTTGGCTGATAAAGTTGTTCCCTTCTAGTTGACACCCCTGGTTCTCCGTCGGGGGAGTACTGTCAAGATGTTCCTCCCAGAAAGCCAGGGGAGAAACACAGTGGGCCCCCCATTCTACCTCCACACCTTCTACAAGTGATACTTAACAAAGATACTCCTGCACATGTAAGTATCTAATGATGCAAGAAGGGACATCTTGAATATTTTTAAATTAATGAAATATTAGTAATGTTCTCTTGCATGGAATCAACAACTTAAAGGGTTTAATGAAAAAATATGTGAAGCTTATGCAAGTACATACAACTTACATTAATGTTAGTCTGTCAAGTAAAAGAGTGTTTCAACCTCAGGGTGAAAGTCGTCATTCAATCCTTGTGTTTATTATCACAGTGCGAGCCAACTTTACTACCAGAGCCAAACCATGTGATGCTTAATCATTTGTACGCATTATCAATAAAGGTCAGTTTTGGTGCAATTTTTAGTAAAAAGATTTTGTATATATGTGCATTTTCAAACTTTTCTGTAAAGTAATTTCAAAATATTTTAATGGTTTATTTAGGAGATGTATTTAATTTTACAGGATGGCGTAATGGTTCTTAGTGCCACACACAGATTTAGAAAGAAATATGTTACGACCCTGCTGTATAAACCTATATAGGATTTATTAGACTTATAGGCATATTTTATCAAATTATTGAGTAGATAGTGTTTTAACATTATTTGTTCTTTCTCTTAATGTAATGACTGATTCATTCGACCACAGGTTAAGAACAAATATGAAGAATTCTAGTCTATCAGAAGTGAATTGCTTTTTTCCTTGTGTCGTGTTTTGCACCTATCAGCAGAAATTTTGTGTCATAAATTGTGACTAGCCTGCATCTAAATGTTGCGTACTTAGCACAGAGGGTCATTTTATTTTGATTCTTGGCTTTTATTATGCACAGATTATATAACTATAAAATATGTTTTCTTTTGGAAAACCTGTATGCAGAAAAGTTTTTTTTTACATGGTTTGGTGCATATAACTTTAATTATTTTAAAGCTGTGACAGTGAAGTAAGGTGAAAAATATTTTCTTTTGAACAAATTATATGTGACCCAAGCATATTGATAAGGCATTCCATGTTTATTTATGAGTATTTAAAAGATAAAGAATTGACATCTTAGCTGAAATATGGAAAACAATGATTTCTCAATCTTTTTTTCTGTGAACAGTGTTCTATGCATGCTCACACTAGCATTTTATCAGCTCCAAAAATATTTCGTTACCATTTCAATTTCCTATTACCTGTTGTGGCTTTAGGATTTTTTTTTATACAGTTGCAATTTTCAAAAGTGCTGCAACTTTGCCAGAAAAAGGAACATGAATTAGTATGCTAAATATTTGGTTAGATATTATTTAATGGAAAAGCAAAGTAATGTACCATTTAGTCAATACCATACATAAAAGAAAGCTGTAGGTTTTTTTTAGGTTTACTGCACTAGCTAAAAATCATTTTAAAAATTGGATCATCAATAAGATACATTTGTATTTATGTTAGTTAAATTTTGTATGTTAAAGCTGATTGTTCAAGTATGTACATTGTAGATTAGCAATTGGAGATGCCTCGGCAATACTTTATATTGTGTATAAGTCTATAATGAAATGGATTTTTCATTTAGTAAGTATTAAAGGCTTTATGCATTTAGATTTATAGATTTTGTGCCTGACAAATTGGGTATCGTGAAATTTTTTTTTTCATTTTTTTCGTAAACCACAGGTAGGATGAAATTTAAAAAAGTATTTTGATTAAATATAGCTACACTGTATAATGTACCTGATATTAAAAGAAGGAGTGATTGATAGCTTGTGATTAAGAGATTTTTCTGTTAAAAATATGGGTGATCTCGTCCTTGTTATGTTTTGTTTGTTTGTTTGTTTGTTTGTTTTGTTGTGGGTGTGGGTTATTCGAGACAAAGCTTAGCCATGCATTGCATAAAGTTTGGACTAAAGATGCTGTTGATTGTGTTAGTGAGAAAAGTAGTTGTTCAATTATAAGAATAACTTGATATCTGTATTTGCACCTACATGAATATAATCATATGCACAGGTGTGAGAGAAGTCAATGTTGATGTATGTTTTATTTACCAGTAAGTGTCACAAATCAATGACAGTGGTTATAGTTAGGTCAACAAACTTGTACATGCTTCTCATTTTCTCATTTGGCAGCTGGGTGAAATACTGAAAAAGAAATTATCTGTGAAAGGGTCTTTTAACAATTAGATAAAGAGCTATTTTTTTATTATTTATTTATTTTTTTTTTTTTTCTGAAAGATGGAGGCATATTTGATGATAGTGGTAAAACCACTGGTACTTGCTTTGGCTATTTATTTCTATCAAAATTTCTGTGTTGTTCAAATTTACTTGTATATTAAATCAGCCCCAAGATTAAAACAGGGGGGGTGGGGGGCAACTTAAGATTATAATCTTGGGAAATTTAGTTGCTGTAACTTTACATATTTAGGCTTATATCATTTCTCATCCATTGCTGACCATTCCTGAAGAGAGACATGCTATGTCATAAAAGAGGATGTGAACTGAAGAAAACTGAGAAAAATATAGAAAGAACATCATAACATTTTACTTTCATTTGTAAAATGACACTGTTTTTAATTTTGTGGATGGGTTTTACACAACTTGAAATCTCAGGTGTTTACACTTTTTCAGCACCAGAACTTTTTGGTAATCACTGGCTAGGAGAGTCTTGAAGCATGAATACATGGCTGTGCCAGAGCCTTCTTGAATGAAATATGTTGGGTTTTTCCCCCAGCAGATATATGCATGTATGATTTGTTTAAGGGAGGTGGAAGAAAGTGTGTGTCAAGTCTGTGGTCTGACAGTCAAGCCCTTACATTTATGTGGTTTTGTGAAGATTTTTTCTTTGTGGAGGTGCCCCTTCTTGGTGGTAACCAGAACGAATATTTAATGTATTATTGTGCAATGAGTTAGGGATATCAGTATTCCTAGACATGGTGTAACCATGATAGAGACTGATATAAAGAGAATGGAAGAAAGCATACAATATTTTTAATATTTTATTGCTGTTTTGTGGAACATAATTTTTACACATGATCTGTATTTTCATGAAACATATTTTTGATTTGCAGTAGATAATATTTTAAGAATTAAGATGTTGCAATAAATGACAGATGTATCTTTAAGCTTCTTGCACATATCATGATTGATATCATGAAATTGGAATATATCACCAGTTCAAGAAAATAATGTTCTTAAATGCATACATATATATCTGATAAAGGAATTCTGCTCTTACAATTGTTCACTGTTGGTTAATTGTACCACAATTGAAAAATGTATATGCATAGTATATAATATTGACAATTTTATCATAATGATCACATTAAAGGGCAGAAGATGATAATCTTGTTTGTTATTGCTTTGAATGTAAGAAATCTTCAATTATTTGTGGTTATATTAATTTGGCACTATCCTTAGCAGGGGTTAAGTGGATATAAAGAGCTAATCACTGATCACAAGTTCGAATCAAAGTGCAGAACATCTTCAGACCATAAAAAAATCTTCATTTATTTGAGTTTAAGCTAATTTGCGCTCCCTAGTTTTAGGTCACCTGAGTCACTTGGGTGACCTATTAATAGCTGTTTTTGTCCTTTGTCTTTCATTGTCCATCTCTTGTGTTGAACATTTTAAGCCTCTTCCCGTAAACTGCTGAACCAATTTCAACTGCAACCTGAGACTCAGAGACTGGGGTGGGACCAAAACCATCAAAATTAATGCAGTTTTCAAAAATCTTCTTTACTCCTGCACAGTCCTGCACTGCAAACTGTTGGCATGATTATAACAAGCAATGAATCTTTTACCAAAATTGTGAAATTCATGACCCCAGGATCAGGGGTTCTGGAATTAGGGTGGGGCTCTATTGATCATATAGTAAAAATGGATTGATGCTGTGAAAATGTTCTTCTTTCCCCCTGTATATTTACTACACAAACTAAGTGCATGGTTATGATGAGCAAGGGTGCTTCTTTCAAAATTGTGAAAATCATGGCCCCAGGGTTCTGGTGTTAGGGTGGGGCTCTATTGATCAAAATGAACTTTCATGAATTCTTTGAAAATCTTCTCTGCTCCTGGGTATTAAGCAAACAAAGTAAGTGTGTGGTTATCTTTAGCAGAGATGCCTAGCTCTTCCAGAATTGTGAATTTCATGGTCTCTGGATCAGGGGTGCAGTTGTTAGGGTGGGACTCTATTGATTATAATTATAGTGAATTTGAAAATGCATTAATTCTTTGAAAATCGTCTTCTCTGCTCCTGGGTATTTACCAGATAAATTATGTGCATAGTTATGATGAGCAAGGGTGCCTCTTCTAAAGTTTTGAAATTCATGGCCCCTGGGTTAGGGGTACTGGTGTTAGGACAAGAGCTCTATTGATTATACAATGAAAATGCATTATCAATTGAAAATCCTCTTCTCTGCCCCTGAGTATTAAGCAAACACACTAAGTGCATCGTTATGATGAGCAAGAGTGCCTCTTTATATCATGAATTTCATGGCCCCTGGGTCAGGCACTCTGGTGTTAGGGCAGGGCCTGTTTATATAGTGAAAATACATTTATTCTTTGAAAGTCTTCTTTTCTGCTCCTACATAGGTATTAAGCAGATAAACTAAGTTCTTAGTTATATAATCAGAAAAAACTGTAGAAGTAGCGTTTTGAAAGTATTTCAAAGAAATTTCTATTTTTTAGTAACCATGGCAACACTTCATCGAAATTAAAAACCGATAAAAAGAATTACGTATTATGGTATGACACTTAATAAAGGTCGTTTATTCCAGGTCTAGGTAACAAATTTTGGAAGAGTGAAATCCTTAAGAGAAAGTTGTAGGAGCATCAGGAGTCATACTTGGTATATATGTTACATTTGACCAAGAGGTCTGTCAAAATTTATAAGGTCAAGGTCACATAACTTGGAAATTATATTTTTTTGGGGGGGGGGGCAAGACTTTTTAATGCTAAATCTGGAGATGGTCATATTCTTCTAACTCAACACAAAGTTTATTCCCGACCAGAAGTGTAAAGATTCAGGACATGAGCATATGCAGTATAACTTTTTAGAACTTTTTCAACTATTTTAATGTATGTGTTATGCTCTTTGTTTAGTTAACCCGTAGGGGGTATAAGACCTGTTAGGGCAGTTCTACTAGTGCTTTTTTCATGTCTATTTTTTTTTTTTAGCTCTACTGGCTAGAGACCAGAAGAACTTATGCAATATTAATGTGTCTGCCTGTAAACAATAACTAATACTAAAAATAGAAATTTCTTTGAAAGTCTTTAAAACATTACTCTTCTACAGTTTTGGTCTGATTTGAATAAGACTTGGTTCACAAGTAGACTATTCTAATGTACATAATTCAAAATATCGGTTTTTTATTTAGACACAGAGTATTGCCATGGTTACTAGATTAGAATTTTCTGTGATTGTTTTTTTCAAAACATTACTCTTCCTACAGTTTTAGTCCAATTTCAATACGACTTGGTACATAGGTAAACTTTACTAAGATACATGATTCTTTGTACCGTATTTTTTTTAGTTTCGTCAAGTGATGTTACCATGGTTACTAAAAATAGGAATATCTGTGAATTTCTTTCAAAATCTACTTCTCTTTCAGTTTTTGTTCTATTTCAGTACGACTTGGTACACAAATAGAATTCTCTAAGATACAATATAATTCTGACATTATATATAAATTTTTTATTATGACAAATGGTGTTGATTTCCAGATGGTTTTGAAATGGTGTTGGTTACTAAAATTGTAATTCCTCCTAAAGTTTAAATCCAATTTCAATAATGCCCCTGTAATACTTGGTACACAAGTAGCTAGACTATCTTAACATAATTTTTTTTTTAACAGTCAGTGTTGCTGTATGTTTGTATAGATAGAAATTTCTGTGAAATTATTTCAAAACATTACTCCTCCGACAGTTTCAGTCGGATTTCAATAAGACTAAGATACATCTTTCTTTAATATAAGTACACACTAGTAGAGCTAGAGTCTTGTCAGAGAATTCTGGTTTTATTAGATCTAGCAAATTTGCCGGCAAACACACACACACACCCCCTCACACACACACACACACACACACACACATTCTTGAAAATATGAAGAGAGAATCTATAGACAAAACGCTTAAAATCTGATACCAGTGTTGTATAGAGTAGGATTCCCCCCCCCCCTTAGCCAGACCCCCCCCAATCTGTACTCTAGAGTAGATCCCCCCGGAAGGGGAAATCTCATGCACACCAGAACCATATTTCCCCCTCTTTCTTTCTCAGAGTAGGATTCCCCCTCTTTTTCAATGCTTACTTCATATCGACAATAATGTGACAAAATGTTTATATGAAAGTCAATTAATTTTTCGAATGGAAATATTGGTGTTTTCGACTCAAGAATCGTCGAATTTAGTATGAAATCTTAAAATCATTCAGTCTCAACCCAAAATTTTAACTTACGGGAAATTATAAATTAGTCACTTCAAAAACCGTAATACTCGATGTCTCAACGCCGTCTCCCGGCGCAGCGGTACGTGTTTACTCAATAATTTCAAAATAATTTCAGGACACTTTTACTTAACTTTTAGTGAATTGAATTTGCTTGCCCTCTAAACGCCCAGTATTTCATCTATATAGACCCTTCCTTTTTTACAAAGTGTGTAAGAAAATTCTAAAATTTATGCTGTTGATGGGTTCCACGTGTCATTTTGTGAGTACATGTATTTGAATTGAATAGTTCTTGAAAGGAAAAAATAAGGCTAAAACCATAAGCACAACGTACAATACAAGAAACACTGCTTTTGCAAGCCAAAGCATAAATATGTACCCTGTGACGGTACATATTGTCGTTTTGTACATATTGTCGTCGGCGACAATATGTACCTACCCTCACTGCACATATTGTCGTCCATCTGTTCATATTGTCGCTGGCTGAAAAGTTACACATGTACATATTGTCGCTGGCGACATTTTGTGCCTCACTCTCACTGTACATATTGTCGCCCCACAGATATTGTTGCTTAAAGATTTCTTTTGTTGTTTTTTGGTAGTTTTGTGAATGCAATTTGTGTATGAATCACACTGACGTTCTCTCATGCTATTTCATGCAGCGTGATTGTGATGGTACATATTGTCGTCCTGTTCATATTGTCGCCGGCGACAATGTGTACCTACCCTAACCGCGCATATTGTCGTCCATCAGAACATGTCGCATGACAATGCATGGCAATGCTCCATATAAATGTAAATATGGCCAGAGAAACCAAAAACAGAAATGGTCATATACACTTAATTTAATCGCCGAAATATGGCTGAAATATTGAAATACTGAAATAATCAATCAATCAATCCATATTAATATGACTAATCATTGCTTTACTGTTTTTTGAGAAGATACATTTTAAAAGTATTTTCCCATATATTCCTAAGTAAAACTTTGATCGCCCATTGTGGCCCCACCTTAGGCTACATTGTATGGTTTTTGAGAAGATGTATATATTTTTAAGTAAATCTTTGATCACCCATTGTGGCCCCACCCTACTGTTGGGGGTCATGATTTGAACAAAATTGATTTTGTTTGTTGTTTTAATGTCTATCTCGAGAATTTTTTCATTCGTAAGTAGACGTATACTTTAGTCCTATACTTGGCACACAGGGTCATTGAGCTTTGAGGGGTCTTTATCGAGCCAGCACCTCAAAATTGAACTAACGCTATGTAACGAAGCTTTCACATAAGTATCATCTCTTCTGACCCACTACTTCTTGGGGAAAAAAAATTGAAAGATTTTTTTTCCTAAATATTCTTAGAAAAACTTTGATCACCTATTGCAGCCAAACCCCTTTTCCCCGAGGAACATGATCTGAATGAAACTGAATCTACATTTCATGATGAAGTTTTCAAAAAAAGTTCAACTTTTCAGATAGAGTGGTTCTTGAGAAGATTTTTAAAAGATGTCACTAAATTTTCACTAATTCTTAACTACTATTCTACTACTGTATGACACTTCATTTAAACAAACTTGAATTCCCTTTATCCACCGATGCTTTTGTGACAAGTCTGCTGGAAATTGACCCAGTAGTTCTTGAGAAGAAGCTGAAATTGTGAAAAGTTTACAGACAGAGGAACGGTCAGACAATATGTGATCAGAAAAGCTCACTTGAACTTCCAGTTCAGGTGGTCTAAAAATGTCAACCCTACACCAATTATATAGACACATGATTGTATATAAGAATAACACGAAAAATATTTTTTAATTAATCATTACTAATGAACCAAAAAAAATAATACATATATTCAATCTCCAAGTATATATTACAAGAAAAAGGAAAAGTCCGATATATCAGTTCTCTTAAGAATCGCAGTATCTTGACAAATCATGTGATGTACATCAATCCTGGACACAATTTTATGATAAAAAAAAAGTTTTCTTCCTACAGTATTGCGAGAAATGATGTCCGTCTCCCTTCGTGCTTGTGTTTGTGTTTGTCAATCTCTCTTTCTTTATTCAAGTAAATATTCGTCAAAACAATATATCGACGACAATATGTGCCGACCTTGACTGTACATATTGTCACCGACGACAATATGTGCTGGTGATTGACTGCACATTTTGTCGTCCATTATGCAGGAGAAAAATAAGGCTCGTCTCGGTACATATTGTCGCCGGCGACAATATGTATCGATGGACGACAATAAGTGCAGTGAGGGTAGGTACATATTGTCGCCGACGACAATATGTACAAAACGACAATACCCTCGATCCCAGCGATGTAATAATGGATTTTCAAAGTGCAAATACTCTAAAAGATTTGCAAATTTCAAACTTTTAGAAATAATGCCAATTTTTAGTTCCTTGGCAATATTTAAACACCAGAATTTTGGAGAGACACTTACATATATGAACATATACATGTAGTTTGAAATACAATTTGAGAATAAAAAATTCCATTTAAAATAAAATATTCCCTTTTGTTAAGAACTACACGTACGGATACAGTTAAAATTTGCCCAACGATCACATAGTACCATTTTTTTCCTCAGAAATTAGTTTGACCAGGTTTTACAGAACCCTGGGGGGACATTGACTTACTTTTTAGGAGTTTTGACTTAGTTCTTATGACTTTATTGTTAATTCTTGTTATTTTACATTTGTTATCACACGTTTACTTGACCCCAAAAACGTGGCGCACAAGATGGAGGCTACGTGTAGTTTCAGAAAAAAAGAAGGGAATATTTTGTCTTTGAATTTATTACTAATGACAAGATAAAATTGTTTGTTTGTTTGTATGCTGGTTAACGTCCCTCTCGAGAATTTTTCACTCATATGGGAGACGCCACCACTTGCCGGTGGAAAGCTGCAAATTTTTTTCCTATACTCTGCACTTACGGCCATTGAGCAGTGGGGGATCTTTTTCGTGCCAGCATCTACTGCGACACGGGACCTCGGTTTATACGGTCTCATCCAAAGGACCGGTCTCCACGTCCCACAGTAGGATTCGAACCCGCGACGTAAGGATCAACTCCTTACTCCGCGACTCTAGAGTAGACGCTCTAACCACTGCGCCACGCGGGCGACAGATAAAATAGTAGTTATGTTCATGTGTTCAATCATTATGCGCACTGAAAGTTACAAATAAGAATTAACTAATTGCTATGCAGTAAAAAGAAAAAATAGTAGTTATGTTCATGTGTTCAATCATTATGCGCACTGAAAGTTACAAATAAGAATTAACTAATTGCTATTCAGTAAAAAAAAAAACAAATAAAAATGAACAAATAACAATTAAGTTATAACAATTAAGTTTCAAGATATAACATATAAGAATATTAAGTAATCACAACAGTACTGGATAATCAATCAAAGGCCACAGCTAAAGTAGGAATAAACACATCATTTTAATGGTAAATTAAGCCAAGCTACATGCACGTGTCCTCTTTAGCTATGTTACATCAGAACAAAAAAGTCATAACAAATAAGTCAAAACAAATAAGCTATAACAAGTAAGTCAGTGTCTCTCAAGGTCTTCCGTGCACAAGATTTTAATGCTTCAGAAATTTATAGCGAGAAATATTAGATTTAAAAATTTTATTTTTTACTACGTATGGTCGTCATTTTGAAGAGGGGACACTTGTAACAATATGTCGCCCCCTTTACCCTCATACATAGAACAGCTATGATATTTTATTTGGAGGGGGGGGGGGATTGACTCTGGGGGGAAATCGCACTCTATAACTATAATATTACACAGAGTAGGATTTTCCCTCGGAAAATTGATTCATGTGTGGGATTTTCGTAGGGGAAATCCTACACTAGAGTAATTTTTCCGTGGGGAAAATCCTACTCTAGAGCCTTTTTTCCGGGGAAAGATTTTAGAGGGGAAAGTCTACTCTACAAGACCGTTACTTTTTGCAATAAATGCTTCACTTAGCTATAAATAGAACGATATTTCAACAATTCAATGCAAAATTATCGGTCCTTTTAATATTTATTTCTATCGAATTTAGACTATCGTCAAAGTAAGAAAAAAAGTTAAAATTAACGTTTATAAATAATTAAGACATCGATGACATATTCGTTTAACTGGCATGATATGGTTTTAACTGGCATGATATGGTTTTCTTTCATTAGTTAGTGAACCTCTGTCATCTAAAATGTAAATGATCTGTATAAACGACAGCAATTTTCTAAAAGAAGACGGAGAAAAAATAACATTAAATAATATTTAATTTAAACCCCACAAGGGTTAAACTTTTTAACAAATTATTGTTAAAGAATGTGTTATAAAATGAGTGTATTGTTTATGAATAATAGAGTTGTCTGTCTAAACAAAGAGTCACTGCTGCTTAATGGTTTTGAGATATACCCTTTTGTCGTCACTTGATTTGGAATTGTGGCTCTAAGAACCCATGTAAACTCTGTAAAATTTCACATTTGTAAACTCAAGCTTTGGTGAAATTATTAATTCAGTAGATTGATTATCTTAGATTTAAGTGGCTTTCAAAGACTTTTGATATTCAAAGAATGCATTTTCAGGTATCTAAGCCCATTTCCAGTTGGGGAAGGGAGGAGGGCTTATCAAAAAGTTTAATGACAGCAGAAACTCACAATATCTGTAAGTAGATGTATTTCGACGGATTGTGTGTGTCACAATGGTTCATGTATTACATGTACTAAACATCTAAAACAGTTCGAATCTATAAAATGAATCAGAATATTAGAGTTTTGACATTTTATATTGAGTCCACTTTACTAGATATATCTAATATTTTTTATGAAACCAATGTGCAATGCAATTTAGTATTTATTTAGCGTAGTTCTAGGAAAGTTCTTTTTTTTATTAGGTAACACAGGAATATTAATTGGAGTGATGCAATTCACTGCATGTTTAATGAATAATACCGATGTCTCTCAATAATTCATGTCCTTAAGCACGCATATTTTGATAAAAGACATACCTGGCATCTTAAGCTAAACATCGATACTTGTATTAAATTCAGCAAATGTCACCCCTGTTTACTTGTTTAAGCGTTTTGAAGGCTGAGATTTGTTTGATTTTGTTCTAATCGTTCGGTTCGAAGGCCCACTTAAAAAAGAGAATATTGCTGGTCTCTATGAAAAATTCTTAAGCTATAAATCACACGTAATTTTAACTACCTGAGACATAGGTAGAGTATATACCAGGTTTATCTTCAATAGGGCCGTTGAATGAGCGGTTTGAGTTCACTTTGAATTTCAATTATTTGAATTTCATTCCAAAGAAATTCTGATAGGAGCTTTATCTTGGTGACGAGGATTTTAAAGAATTCGTAGCGTATTTAGATTTTTACCTGTGACTTGACTTAATCTTCGAATCGGTTTAAAGTCACACTTACATGTACAGATATACATGAATAAAGTTGTGGGTAGGTGGGTCTCTTTGCCCCTGTGGAGTATTTATATATAGTGGGAAGATTCGCTCCGATGTATCGTGTTGATAATACAAGTCAATAGTTTTAAAGCCCGGTAGTTACGATTGTTTGTGTTTATAAAGGGTCTTGCCAGGTGAATGGGTTTTTTACCTGTCCAAGACACCGAGAGAAACGGGTTGGAGTGATTTGACAGATTTTTTTCTAACATGGACATTGTTTTGTTTTCGGTGATATAACGCATTAAGGTAGAAAAAAAATCAGTATGTTTATTTTGGTCAAATACGGTAATAATGAAACTCTTCTATGTAATCCTAGCTGTGCTGTGATAAATTTACTGACCAATATCAAAAGGCGAGCTGGATATGGAAATTCTAATGTAACAGTTGATCTATCGGACGAAACAGGTATTGTTACTTTTTATTCCTATATTTTTGTTAAGCTTTATTATTGAGGAATTGGGTTGAATTAATTTCAACAATATTTTTCCTTTGCAAGAAATATATTTCTTTTCTTAAGAGCGTTATTATTTTAGCATTCATTGAGACACTCCTGTTCTTTTCTATAGAAATCGATCATAAATCACTGTAATTCAAGACATTTAATGTACAATATCTTGTTCACTTTAAAAATTCATTTGCTTAAAGGACAGATTTCCATTGCGGTTCTTTTTTTCCCCGTTATCTAACAGCACCAAGAATCCAATTTACTTTTCTCAATAACACTTTTATGACACCGTCGTACAAAAGAGACATAGCAATGAATAAATTTCGCCAAACAATTTAACTTAAATTAGTTTTTGATATTGCAATCAAGTATAAGAAATGACAAAAAAAGATTACAAGTATATATTTTTTATTCCATTTCACGAAATTCGACTGGACGTCTCAAACTAACGTTTATTGTATTCACATTTGCGTGAGACATAGCCTTCGGCAATTCATACCTACTTATGGAAATTTAAATGTTCCTAAAATTGCCCAAGTTGCAAGATTTGTCATCCTTGTGTATGAATTTTACTCCTTTAAGTGGAAACCCAGAAGCAACAAATGCATATCGCTACTTACACGTGTGGAGGGCTGAATTTGAATAGAGTTTGATAATCTTAATCCAATTTTAGGCTGGCTGGATTATGATTAATTGTTTCTAACAAAGAGCTTGCTTAAAATTTTAGATATGAGATTCAGACTAAATATGACTCATAAACATTAAAGCGTAAAAGTGGATCAATTTTTTTAAACCTCGCTAAAACAAATAAGAGAGAAATATAGTAGCTAGCCCTTTGACAGGAAATATAATCATCAATATAAAAGCTACTGTCTTTCATGTGACCAATTTGAGAAAATAATGGCTTAAAGCAGACGGCAAAATGACCAACCACTTAGTGATTTTTCTCTGATTTTAATCGACAGTATATAAGAATTCAATAAAATTACATTAAGATTTTTCCAACCATGTCCATTGGACGGATGGGATTCTATGGGGGTTAAAATCGATGGCGTTCCGAATGCCAGGCGTTGACAAAATTTCGGTTGATATGATCGTTTGATACAAATGGAATAGGCTGATTTTTAAACCTTTTGAGAAATTGTCAGATCTCTTTGCAGATAACATTTAGTTTGATTGATTTAAATATATTTTTCAGTCAATGTATATTACGTTGCTGATATTGTAATTATAAACCTATAGTGCATATAGTAATTTTGATGAAAGAAAATAAGACCCTTTTGCACCAAGGAAAAGGTTTTTCCTCCCCCCAAAATCTCGAAAGAATGGTGTTCTTTGGTGAATTTTGACACGATCCTACTTGTAGATAAGATTAAAGGTCTTGTTGCAAGTATTCAGCTGAAATATTTACTAAATTTTCGTCTTGAATTACACAAAATGCTAGTTTAAATAAAAATCCCAAGTTATAAAGACGTGATACAACATATTATATCCGATGCGATCATCCATATACTTTAATTTACATAATCAGAATATTTATATGTTATACAAAGACGCAGAAATAACTCCAATGGCATTATTGGATTTTTTATAATTGAAAAAAAAGTCCTCTCGTGTAAAACAAATTGAATTCGATTACCCTCGATAATGGACTGCTCTTATCTGGCTATAGGAAATTAACGGAACACAGTATTTGCTATTCTTATCATGCAACACCTTTGTTAATTTTACTTTTTTTGCCTCTTTGTGTTGGCCCATCGTCAATCTCTCCGTAGGCCTGTAATGTAGGACTTTTACGAGTCACGTTTCTAACGAGATCGAGGAGAGATTTAGGCACCCATCGATATTCACATTGATCGCCACACCAAGTTACGTGTAAATCTGTCAAATAAACAGCTCTCTAATGTGATAACCTGTTGTTATGAGTGAACCTTATATTGACACGATTTAATTAACATTCCTGTTACAATGATAAACCTGAAATATCTGATTTATAGACACTCTAAAAATGTTTCATCGGCACTATTAGGAGAATAAACAATATCACTCAAGAAAAATTCACATTAACAAGATATTGTCCTTATCTATCTTAAAAATAAATCTTATCAGTTTCTGTACCGAGAGCATCATTCTGATTGTACTTAGTAGCTGTAAGATTTTAGATGAAGACTTTCGTCAAAAAACCCACCTTTTTTAAAAATGATTCTTCAGAATTTAGATGCAAGATATTTGTATTTTATTCTACAAACATTTTTTTTGTATCGAAATGGTTACCAGGACATAGACTTATTCTTAACTAATGAAGGTTTTCTTTATCAACAGGGTTAGTAAAAGAACTCGATAATCATCGTCACGATTATGCCAATAAATATCTGACGTCACATGAAACTTACATCCTAGTCCAGAAAGAAATCCAGTCGGACAACACCTCTGTAGATTCGGGATCCACCCCTAACCAGAATTACCAGTATAAACCCCTGCTGGAAAAGTTTGAGGAACTATTCCCTAATTATAAACTTCACGTAGACCACATTCCACCTAAAGTATCAAAGAAACGGCCTGGAAAATCCCCAAGTCCAGCCGGAAGATTTGCTCCAAAGTCTAAAACAAAGACTGTAGAGACTATATCAAAAAAAGCTGTAAACAAAAAGAGATAAAAAGAAACCAAGGGGCGGTGATTCCGAGGAGCCCTAAACACTACCCGCATGCGGAGCGTGTGCCATTTTTCCATGAACATGTTGAACAAGACACCATAAGTTTTCATTTATTAGAATCAATATATATTTTATATATATATATATATATATATATATATATATATATATATATATATATATATATTTCTTCCGTAACCTCACCTGGGGGAGAGAGCGTTTACTGTACAGTCCTGTGTAAGTGAACATGTTATTTTCAGCATTAGTGAACTACTGTTTTAATTTATTGGAAATCAAAATAATAGTCAGAAAACATTATTGATGATCAATAATGGATCTGAAAAATTTATGCAATTTTTAAATGCTGTCGACATTTATTGTATTTTCACTTCTCTATATTACTGATGTTTAAAGCCTTTTATAAAATGAAGATAAACCCTTTAAAATCTACAGAATGTTTTCAATGCATTGTTCATTTTACACTTTGGATGCTGGCCATAACAAATGTGTTATCCCCCTTTGCTGACCATAACAAATATGTTATCCCCCTTTGTGGTAAATATGCATACAAGAGGAACTGAAACACACATTTGAAAAAAATTAATACTTTACTGATCTCCAGAATCTTAACTGTAGAATTTTTATATATTTGCCAATCATTTATAGATACTGCAGATTCTTTTCCTGCAACTTTTTTTTCTCCAAAGAAGTCTAAGTAAGAGTTGTTTCTTTACTCATAAGGCAAAATCACCTCCAGCAATATCTTTCCTGCATAAAGTTATGTATTAACTACTTTTCATGGTTTTATAAAAAAATTATATAATTCATAATGCTCAGAATCTTGTATATTTTATAAATTTACTATATGGATTATTAATGTTTACAATATACCAATTTTCTCACAGCTTTCAATACACATATACACATCTAATAAATACGTTCAGACTAAAAATGATCAACGGTTCATAACATCACATTCATCATTCATTTTTCCAGGCATCTATATTGTTTTTCTATCATCAGTGTAAAAAAAACCTACACATACTTTTCCACTGGAAGGATACTTGAGTTAAAAATGCAATAAAACTCATCAGAGTTCACTACCATTTCTATCTCCCATCAAAACTACAGATTCCAAATGCTCCATAGTTCTCAGTTTGACTGAATGACTTTTCACACTGTACTAAATAACATCAATTCAGATCTGTTGTCTGTCGAATATGTCATGGATAAGAAAAACATCCAACATTTTTGTGATTCTTTAGAAGATCTAAGAGTACCCTCTGATTTGAGGGGGCATGTCATCTTTCAGAGGCTGAGCAGTAATCTAGTTTTTGTTCACCTAGTATCTACACCACTGTTTGTGACATCACTCTATACTGTTCTTCATCATCTGTTGAAGTCTCGCTAGCCTGGCATCGATCTCGGAGATTTCTGCTGAGCGATCAAATGAATCACTGTCATCTCCTGAAAATATATAAGATGAATCTTGCAAAAATGTGTTACCAGTAAATAAATGAATTTAGAATAATTTACAAGTAGAATAAATGAATTACTGACATCACCTACAGCTGACTGAACCTCAAGGGACACAACTCTCATAAAACCACTTGCACTTTCTTCTTATCAAATTGACTATTTCCCATTTGTAGCACCCCAACAGTTTTTTTTAAACTCTTTTCCACTCCCCAGCCCTTTTTTTCATGAAGGTAAATGGGATAGAGTAGCTTTTGATAATACCAAAACTTTTTCTCTATATTGAAATCTGATGGAAACTGAAACAAGAGGCCCAGGGGCCACATCGCTCACCTGAGCACTATGGCTAGGAAAAAGCAGAAATCAGTTCAGTCTTGAAAGGTTGAAAAGTTTAAATAAAAAAGTGGTTCGGGGGGGGGGGGGGGGGGGGGGTCATAAATTGAACAAATTTGAATCTACATCATCTGAGGATGCTTCCATTTAAATATGACCAATCATGGCTTTGCTGTTCTTGAGTAGAAGATTTTTAAAGACTTTTCCTATATATTCCCATGTAAAACTTTGATCGCCCATTGTGGCCCCACCCGACCCCCAGGGGTCATGATTTGAACAAACTTGAATCTACACTATCTGAGAATGCTACCATATAAATATGACCAATCATGGCTTTGCTGTTCTTGAGTAGAAGATTTTTAAAGATTATTCCTATATATTCCTATGTAAAACTTTGATCGCCCATCGTTGCTCCACCCGACCCCCGGGGGTCATGATTTGAACAAACTTGAATCTACACTACCTGAGGATGCTTCCATGTAAATATGACCAATCATGGCTTTGCTGTTCTTGAGTAGAAGATTTTTAAAGATTATTCCTATATATTCCTATGTAAAACTTTGATCGCCCATCGTTGCTCCACCCGACCCCCGGGGGTCATGATTTGAACAAACTTGAATCTACACTACCTGAGGATGCTTCCATGTAAATATGACCAATCATGGCTTTGCTGTTCTTGAGAAGAAGATTTTTAAAGATTTTTCCTATATATTCCTATGTAAAACTTTGATCGCCCATTGTGGCCCCACCCGACCCCCAGGGGTCATAAATTGAACAAATTTGAATCTACATCATCTGAGGATGCTTCCATTTAAATATGACCAATCATGGCTTTGCTGTTCTTGAGTAGAAGATTTTTAAAGACTTTTCCTATATATTCCCATGTAAAACTTTGATCGCCCATTGTGGCCCCACCCGACCCCCAGGGGTCATGATTTGAACAAACTTGAATCTACACTATCTGAGAATGCTACCATATAAATATGACCAATCATGGCTTTGCTGTTCTTGAGTAGAAGATTTTTAAAGATTATTCCTATATATTCCTATGTAAAACTTTGATCGCCCATCGTTGCTCCACCCGACCCCCGGGGGTCATGATTTGAACAAACTTGAATCTACACTACCTGAGGATGCTTCCATGTAAATATGACCAATCATGGCTTTGCTGTTCTTGAGAAGAAGATTTTTAAAGATTTTTCCTATATATTCCTATGTAAAACTTTGATCGCCCATTGTGGCTCCACCCGACCCCCGGGGGTCATTATTTGAACAAACTTGAATCTACACTATCTGAGGATGCTTCCATATAAATATGACCAATCATGGCTTTGCTGTTCTTGAGAAGAAGATTTTTAAAGATTTTTCCTATATATTCCTATGTAAAACTTTGATCGCCCATTGTGGCCCCACCCGACCCCCAGGGGTCAAGATTTGAACAAATTTGAATCTACACTACCTGAGGATGCTTCCACATAAGTTTCATATTTTTAAGCACAGTGGTTCTTGAGAAGAAATTTTTTTAATGATGCCATTAATTTTTCACGAATTCTTAATTATCTCCCCTTGGAAGAAGGCATGGCCCTTCATTTGAACAAACTTGAATCCCCTTTACCCAAGGATACTTTGTGGCAAGTTTGGTTGAAATTGGCCCAGTGGTTCTTGAGAAGAAGATGAAAATGTGAAAAGTTTACAACAACAACGACAACGACGACGACAACGACGACAGACAACGGACAAATTTTGATCAGAAAAGCTCACTTGAGCCTTTGGCTCAGGTGAGCTAAAAAGCACCTTATAGGTATAGAAAGTGTACTTACCACTTAAAGGAATGTTTTCTTTGTGTTGTGGTCTTTTTCGTCGTGTTCTGACCTCATTATCTGGTGTACTGGACACAGGAGTAACAAGTGTTAAGGAAGAAAGTAAATGTCTCTAATTCCTCCTATAAAGGTTTTCTATTTCTTTTTTTTTTCAACAAAAACATTGCTACTTGACCATGCATCCCCAAAAGCAAACCCTACAGGGCTCTCATCAGACCAACCCATGGTGTAAATACCAATATGATAAAAAAAAGTGGCACAGAAAACAGAAGCCACAGCATTTGAATCAGTGGACCTTTAACAAATTCAAGTTAAGCTCTTCATTGGACCATTCTATGGTTCAAATACGCACATCCTATCTCAAACTGCTTTATAGTGTGGAAACTTTAGCAGGATGGATGAAATTGTCATGGGAAACCCTAAATGCCCCATCCCCTACTCCCACATTGAAATGGCTGAGACATTAACAAATGCAATAAAAATAAAATGAATATATGTAACCTGTATGATTTCACAACAAGTAGACAAATACTTTAAAGTAGCACTAGTTACACATGACTAAAAATCTCTAAGTGCTAGATACAGAAGCTTCACGTTAGGTATTTCATATAAATAAGTACGTGTATATATAGATGAATATTTCGCCTTTTAAAACTTGTGTTGTGTGCTTTCATGAAGCAAAGGATATACTTTGGTCTGTCTTCCTGAACCAGTTCTACTGCGAGTTTTCTGAGGCTGCATAAAAGTAAATTATTGAATAATTTTTCAGAAAATTGCACCTTATCAGCTTCTTTGCAAAACATTTTGTAACTTGAAAGCCTTAGCAAACTGTCAATTATATCATTTCATAGCAACAGATTTGACACAAATGAAGAAACAAATGAGTTTTTGAAATTTTTTTTCAAAAGGAAAATGTGTGTTAACTGTAAAATCTCAATTTTGACAATTCTGAGAAAACAGAATAAAAAGAAACTTAATTCGGAGTCAAACAAATATCAGATGCCTTTACTTACAATATCTGGACTAGAGAGATATGAGCCTTTAGAGGAATCCACGGAGGCATTCCTGTGATGATTTCTCTGTGAGTTTCTGTTTAGGACTCGGAGTCTGGAGTAAGATGAGTCTGAGAATCCTCCATCACTCAGTTCTCCAGCACTTCCAACTGCAACATATCAAAAATCCTACCATCAAATCCAAAACAAATCAAAAAATCTGTCATTAAATTCAAGACAAATCATAAATCCTGTCATCAAATCCTAAACTGTTGTAAAATCCTAAAGTTATTTCATCTACAAAGGACGAAATTTTTTTCTAGATGCATTATAGTCAGTATTTTGACAACTCAGAGGTACTCACAAAGGCATTCTTGATTATGGGTGAAATAAATGTAACAGAAACATTATGTGTCTTGACTTTGGATTGAACCTAGGACCTCTGATTTGCCAATCCAGTGCTCTACTGATTGAGCTAAAGGGTTAACCCACTAGCCCAAGCCAGTAGGAAGCCATGCATCACACACTAAGATATAAACATAGCAGAATTCCAATGCTAGTAATTCCAACTCAGATATGACTTTTACAGCTGTACTCACATGATGAAGTTCTTGATCTGTTTCGCACAGCTGAAAATGAAAAAAATATTTGCACTAGAAAAATATTTTCATCAACAGCACTTACATGTACATGTACATAAAACTCATGAGAAATTAATAATTCCAGCTTCAAGGAAACCAATTTTCATAATCTCTAATTTTATGAAATAACTAAAAATTTCTTCTCCAGTACTTACGCCGTGATATGTG